GCAGAAAGTGATGCTTTGCATTTGGTGGGACACCAAAGGAATAATTCATTTTGAACTCATCAATCGACAGCGAACTATCAATGCAGAGATCTATAGTCAGCAAATGGAACGTTTAAATCAAGCCCTTCATCAGAAACGCTCGTCAATCGGAATGTTATTCTCTTCTCCACGACAATGCACGTCCACATGTGGCACGTTTGACGCAATATTATGGAGTTGGGTTGGGAAGTTCTCCCCCACCCACCATATTCTTCAGCTATGGCAACATAAGATTATCATCTTTTTCGTTCGCTGCAACACCATTTTAATGGCAAAACGTATACAAATGGAGACTATTTCATTTAATAAATGTTTTGTTCGGGTTTTTTTCATAAAAAGGCGACATTAATTTCTTGAATACCTAATATAGAAAGTGCAATAACACAATAAAATTGAATAAAAACAAATGCAAGATCTTACAAGGCATAAGCTATTAAGAATAAAAAAAATGTAATATTACGTTACAATTTGCAGGCATTGCGAAAGAAAAAAGAGTAACTTAGATTTATTTCGTATTTTTGTGGCGGTTATATGGCCGGTCAAACGGATCTATTCTACATAGGGTTAGGGCGGAGAAAATTACAAGTAATATAAAATCTTACTGTTTTTTTGTTATTAAGCACAAAGCTACACAAAAGGCTATATGCCCAACACGTAAGTGTAAGTCCGCAGACATACCGTTGTACCGCTGTGGGGGGGGGGGGATTTTACTGTAAAAGCTTTTGTTGATATTCATTTTGGAGGTTCTAGAGGTTATACAAATGAAATTTGAAAACTGTAAGATGAAAAGTATATTTAATTCTAACATGAAAATCACTTTGCACTTGGATTAGTTAGAGTTTGAAAGAGACTCTGATTTAATAATTTCACAGACAAAGCTTTAGTAAAAATATTTTATTAAACAAATATTTCTTTTTGTACTAAATGCTTACCAAATGTAATGAACATAAGTTTAGCAAATTCGGAATTATGGTAAATACTGGTATGCAAAGTGTTTGTAAACACAGAGCTTGTCGCTTGTCGTTACTGTCGCGCCGCTCAGAGCTATGTGCTATGGCAGCCAATTAGAGTGATCGTTTTTGATGGTATACTTCTTTGATTTAACAGGAGGATAGAGAAAACTTAAAAGTGTAAAAACGATTTTAATTTAGAAACTGCACAAACGACATTCTTGTTTTAACCTTACAAAATACCTAATTTTTCGAGCCGTTTTATTCGCAATTACTATGTACAGCAATAATCCAGAATTTCACCACAAGGCCAACTCTTGGTTTAATTAAAAAACTGAAATTTTATATGTATAGTGTTTAAGAGGAGGATGAAAATAACTATGAAAATCACGTTACTAAATCAAATCACTCATTTGACCTTTTGGTCCTTTGTTTGTTAGTTAACTTAAGTATTCTGACACGCTCGCTGAGAACGATTGATAGTGATAGACTAACTGATTACGGCTTTTGTGTTGTACTTCATTCGATGTACTCGAGTGAACAGCTGTGTTATCTTGTGCTCGTTACAATCACACATAAAACACAAAGGACACACAACTATCTCTTCAAACCTTTAACTTCATTGAAGTGTTTCTGTTGAGAAGTTTGAAGACTATTATGGCTCGGCCTGCTCCCTTGTACACAGTAAGTGCAGTATATTTCATTTGTCTTACAGAATATATTTGTAAAGTTTAGTAAAAAAGATATGAGTGTTTTACAAAGAGATACTTATAATCTTAGATTAAGCATATGTGAAACGCATGAGGATCATTTGTTTAATTTCATAATTGATTTTACGCCACTGAGCAGATATAAACAATAGTTTCAGTAAAAGACATAAGTTATAACACGAAGTATAACTATTAAATAACATGCAAGCCGAATTAAAAAAAACACTGTACGATTTTGTGACTTAGAATAGAACGAAAAAGAAGAACAAAAAGCATACATCAAAATATCAAGAAAGTGCCACTATTATTATTTTATTAGATTAAATAATGTGATAAAGTTTACTTGTTAGGCTCTCACAATATAGTTTACTATCGTGTGTACCCATGTGAACTTTAAGTGTGTGTATGCGTTCTGGGTGTTATCACAGAAATTTAACGTTTTTTTTTCCCCAGGGCAGTTAATTTTCGTCAAACAATGATGGACTGTCTTCTTTTAGCTGATGATACCCGTTAAGGAAGCAAACATTGTATAAAGGACTTGTTCAATAATGCTCATTTTCCTTCTTTCTTCTGTTATGAAATCCCTAATGATATTAGATGTTAATTGTACAACCTGCTTTCTGGAAGGAATAATTTACTCATTTAATTGACTACATACTTGCGTTTTTAAATTCAAAGCCAAAAGTATATAAAAAAAGTGGAAATGTGCCCTATGTTAGAGTGCTTTTACCTCTTTTTGGGCAAAAATTCTAAAACAAAATAGTCCATGTACACCGTCGGAAACTTTCCATTTACCATACAAAAATTACGGTAATCGAGCAAAAAACAAACTCTGGGTGATAGATGTTAATACACACAAACAAACAAATACACGTAACAGATCATCTTTATAGTAAGATGCAGAAAATGTGAATTATTATGCAGATGACAAATCAAAATAAATGCTAAAGATCTTCAATGAATAAAATACTAAATAAAAATGAAAGTAAATATTAAATTATCTTCTGTGACTCTTTAGTTACTTTGTATTTGGTTATTTGCCTATTATCTAAAATTTGAGAAGAAGAATTCAACGAGAAATTCAGTAGAAAATGATTTAATAAATTATTGATTAAATAAAGATTCAGCATTTTTGTAGGCAAAAGATTAAAAAATATCTTCTGTGTTCTTTTCTGTAATGAAGACTAAGTGAATGGAGTAAAAGGTGGCGGTTGAGGTATAATGCGGAAATATGTGAGAGCATGTATATAGACCAACAATATCCATAGAGGAATTGTTATATGACTGATGACGGAGAAATATATGTATTATACGACTGATGATAGAGAAATATGGACATTAGAAGAGACATTGAGTAGGGATAATTAATTTTGTGGATCACTGATAATTTAAAGAATTAGAGACCGTGAAAAAAAAGCTTTCGAGGTGTTAGGAAGTGTAAAAAGTAGTTTTAAAAATTGTGATAAGAATATCTTCCACATTATGTATTAGAATGTATAATATACTTCATACGGAGAATGTAGAACTGGTATGGTCACCCTATTGTGAGAAGGATATCAAATTAATGGAAAATATTATAGAAAACAACTATCCAACTAGTATACGGTATGAGGAACAAGGAATACGATGTTAGAAGGAATATACTTAAGTTACCAATTTTGAGAGAGAGGAGGTTAAGGAGTGATTTAATTGAAACATACAAAATATATGGATATAAATATAAATATAAATGGATATAAATTATAGACAGTTTTTGAAATTAATAACGATAGATGAGGTCATCTTAATATAAATATGATGGTTCGTGTGTGCCTGTGTTTGTGGGCTGACTTGATTGCCGTAGTTTTTTATATGTTAAATGGAAACTGTTCGACAATGTACATGGGCTATTTTGTTTTAGGATTTATAGCCGAGAAAAGGGATAAAAAGACCATAAAATATGCACATTTCAACTTTTTGTATAGACCTTTGGTTTTGAATTTAAAGATACAAGTACTTGATCAGTTAAATGAGTAAAATATTCCCTCCGCAAAGCAGGGTATGCAATTAACATCTAATGAGTACATTAGTGATTTGTTAACAAAAGAAACAAGTATGTTCATTATACACTATTTGCTTCCTGAATGGGTACTCTTAGCTAGTATAAAATATAAAAACAGAAGATTCAGATTACAAAAGAGACAACAGTTTTTAGCCAGAGCAAAATCGATCTGTAGAGGAATCATATTTTATGCAGATACTTTTGTAAAGACTAGGAGAAGATATGAGTGGCACAATTTTGAGTAGGAAACAGGCAGCATTGAAGCAGTTTGAACAAAAACCCATCTTACAAATGACTGGTATCTCTGTAGTGTGGGTGTACGTAGTGTAGGTGCATGTACTGTGCAGCAAACGTACAGATAAAATATAGCTGTGTACAGTGCCAGCATTTCTAATTAATAATTGGACAACAACACAGCCAGAAAAATGTACTTTAATAAAGCTTTACAAAAATGGTTCTGTGTGACCATACAGCTCAAATTTAACTCAGTATGATTTTATTTTAGTGTGAGTTCTGATGTTGTAATGTTCTCTGTTGTCTGTATAACTTAAAGTGTAAACTTTTACATGCGTAGAAGATGTTTACAGGTACACTGTTTACTTATCAAAACTATGACGATGCCAAGGCAGAATGGCTTGCTTCTTATTGTTATTGTGGCGTAAATAAATGGAATAACCTAGCCATGCCAATCCATTTCCAAACATATATTGTGGAAACCTATTTTCTAAGGATGAATACATATACGGGTCAGGCAATAACAAAATGATCTGTAGAACCCATATATTATGGTAGCATGTTTATAGATTAAGAAACGGCTCGAAAAGAAATCCAAGCAGCGCTTTATGCTGTGGTTGGGGATTTATTAACATTCAAGCCTACAAAACCCTACAATACGGAGAGGATTGACAGACATTGTTTGTTAGGCGATTAAATTGGATCATTATTATCTTCCGTGGTTAGGCCCAAAAAAAATGCTTATTTTATTTTGATATGTTCAAACAAAATTTTTAAGTTATAAATTTCAGATATTCAGTGTGAGTGTTTTAAAACGAACAGAAAGTTTGTATGTATGTTTGGAATTTCGCGCAAAGCTACACGAGGGTTATCTGCGCTAGCCGTCCCTAATTTAGCAGTGTAAGACTAGAGGGCTACTCTTGGGCTACTCTTTTACCAACGAATAGTGAGATTGACCGCTACATTATAACGCCCCCACGGCTGAAAGGGCGAGCGTGTTTGGTGTGACGGGGATTCGAACCCGCGACCCTCAAATTGCGAGTCGAGTGCCCTAGCCACCTGGCCATGCCGGGCCTACGAACACAAAGAGATGTAGAAAGAGCTGTGATACGTCATGCTGTTAGTTAAAGATATATTTATATCTACATAGTTAATGAATTTTAAGAAAAATTGTTTTAAACAGCAGATATTTTAACACAATCCTTTTAATTATTTCATTAAAGTTTTGAAACCATGCAAATCCATATATGGGTAATAATTCTTCTGTATTTTTTGTTTGCTGGATGTCACTTCCTAACTGAGAAGGATTTTTTCGTAATATGGAGTAGGTTGTAACCTAATGGTCAGCGTGCTTGGAATGAGAATCCGAGGGTTCATGGTTTGCGGTCTATTGTCGCAAAAGAGCAACCCACACATGGGCGCGCTATAAGATTGACGGTCAAATCCACTATTTGATCAGATAAAAGTAACCCTAGAGTTGACGGTGGGTGTTTTTGACTAGCAGTCGTCTCTCTAGACTATCAGTTCAAAATTAGGGATGACTATGTCTAGAGAGCCTTTTTTATAGCTTTATAGTTAAATTTGAAACAAAAAATACACTATTAAAAGACAAGTTTTCACGATGAGCTACAATAGAAATGCTTTCCAAGTTCTCAAACTAAATATAAAAACCTCATTATCATTAATTTAGATTGTTGAATAGTGTGACACGAACTTCTGTGATTTTTCAAAATGTAAAAACAGAACTTTATACTTTCATTTAATATATCGGTTTTAAGGCCTGAATTTTTTTTTTGAAATAATGTCTCCTTTTTTCAATCTGTTATGATTTAAAGATGTTTCTTATTTTGTCATAATTTGCGATATAACTTCATGGCGATGCTCTTGGAGTTATTGAACAAGCGTAATATATGTAATAGCAATACAAATCTAGTATCTTAACCATTTGTGTTTCATTAAATAAGTCATCAATATGTTAGTAAGACATGATCATCAGTATTACATTTTGGCATTTAGTCAATGTTCATTAGCTTTTCCTTTGTAGAACATTTAGACTCTTTTTTTTATTTTCTGTTAACTCTTACTTATATTGTGCCTGGCATGGCCTCTTGGTTTGGGCGGTCGACTCGTAATCTGCGAACATGCTCACCTTTTCAGCCGTTATAATGTGATGATTAATCCCACTATTCGTTGGCAAAAGAGTAGCGCGAGAGTTTGCGGTGGGTAGTGTTGACTAACTGCCTTCCCTGTAGTCTATCACTGCTAAATTAGGGACAGCTAACACAGTTTTGCGCGAAACTCAAACCAAACTCTCTTTTATAGTCCTTTTTTTTGCGTCTGTGTTGACAACATTTACAAATCCAAGTTATCTTTAAATCATATATAATTATCAGTATACACAAATGTATACAGGTTAAACTACTGAACTGTAGATGGCGAGTGAGATCAATGTGTGGGAGTAGCATTCATGGTTTTTACAACTACTTGGTATTTTAGTTGATGAGCGGGGTCTTTACATTTTGAACAAAGGTTTATAGAGTTATAAACAGAAAAGGCGTAACTCTCATGGTTTGGAACTTCTTGGTCTCTATCTGACAAGTGAGATCTCTATCTCTGTGTGTGTGTGTGTTCTTAATAAATCTTTTAGAGTTATGAATAAAAAGGGGTAACTCTCATAGTTTACAGCTTCTTGACTGTACCTAACAAGTAAAATCTCTCTGTGTATTTTTAATAAAGTTTATAGAGTCATAAACAGAAAGGGTGTAACTCTCATAACTTACAACTTCTTGGTACTGTAGATGAACTGCCATAGTAAAGAAAGATGTTATAAATTTTCAAAAAAGATAACGTATATAATCAGAGGTGATAAAGGTGGAGGAATATGCAATGCGAACTATTAAAACATTTCTCAATGAGGAAGGCCCGGCATGGTTAAGGCGCTCGACTCGCAATCTGAGGTCGCGCGTTCGAATCCCTGTCACACCAAACATGTTCGTCCTTTCAGCCGTGGGGGCGTTATAGAGAGTAGCCCAAGAGTTGGCGGTGGGTGGTGATGACTAGCTGCCTTCCCTCTAGTCTTACACTGCTAAATTAGGGATGGCTAGAGCAGATAGCCCTCGTGTATCTTTGCGCAAAATTCAAAAACAAACAATGTATATAGATTTAGAAGTAAGTCTTGTTTCTTGCTAGCAGCATATTATTTTATTCATTTGCCCACCTTGAATTATTCATTTTCTTTCACATCTTCTGGTACTTTTTCTTTTCTTTCATTGAATTCCTGTTTTTTATAATCCTTTCTTAAACCAACGCCGAAATGATCAGTTTCTTTCTGACCTTGTTTTTCGTATATTGCATCATAACATTTCATAACCATAGCGGGTCTTGTAATCTCCATACCGACTAAACTTAGAAAGGTGGCCGCTATACCTGCTCACTCCAATAATTTAATAATTATTTAGAGTACTGTATTCCCATAATTTTTTTGAGACTGGCCAAAAGTTGGCCAATTTCTCGCACTTTCTCAATTTTACGATGTTACTTTACACCTAATTTCATGGCACATGTAGATGCATATATAGCATATATTGCCCTTATGTATATTTAAAATATACATTAATTGTTACATTATATCAAATGACTAATAAGTTCACAAAAGCAGGAATAGTAATAACGCTTATTTTATAGTCAACTGAGTAACTATTCGAGCTGTACCAAACATAAGCACATGTTTACAAATTCCAGTAATAGTAACGTCACAAATATTGTAATGACAATTTTACAATAAAAAACAAATAAACGTATCAAAAGCTGAATTCTTCAGGAATAATGAAGCTGGAATCTTTATTTCCATTTTTTTTTGCTGCTACAGTCACAGTACACATCAAATGATTGATAAAAATTTCCGAACTTGTTTGTTTCAGGTTTTTCACGCCGAGCTACACAAAGACTATTCGCGCTAACATTCCCTAAATTTGAACTGATACACTAGAGGGAAGATAGCTAATTAACAGCACCTACCAACAATTATTAGGCTACTTTTATCTGATTGAATATTGGTATTTGACCATCAATATTCACTGCACTCATGGCTCTAAAGTACGATCGAAATTTAGCGACAACAAGGCTCGAACCATGAATCCTCATATTCACAGTCCGTGCCACTACCTATAAGGTTACTCTTAGACCGATTGCTTAAGAGTAGACTTTTGATCTATTTAGAGTTTCAATTTGTAAGTTAATTGAACATTTAATATACAATTTCTTTTCCCTTCAGTCTCAGCAGAAAGCTACGAATGTTTTTGAACAAACGCACCATGTCTCTAGAGCGAAACGAGGCCAGATTATGGGCCAGAGGGGTGGATTTCGTGGATGTACAATATGGTTAACAGGTGAGTTTTTTTGTCATAACTGTTTCAACTCGTACAGGAAAATTAATGTTTTTGAACGAATGCATCTTGTTTTCTGGGTGAAAAGAGGGGAGGATTCAGTGGGTGTACAATATTGTTTACAGGTGAGTATTTATCAAAAATCTCTTCGCTTGTATGTAGATAACAATTAACGATTTCTGCCATTATCTTTGTAATTGTATGACTTTGTATAAGAGGTCTTATAACAGTAAAAAATATGTTATCAACAGTGTACCGTATAGCAAGTTGTCTGTACACCGCTGAAGTATCCTACAGTATCCTACTTGTTACTATTTGCCAAACATGTCTACCAAATAATACACGACTACCGATATGTTGTCAATTTGACTTCGGACTGTCTTCATAATTAGCTGATATTTGAGTAAAACGTTTCGTACTTTCAAATCTTGCTCTCAAAATGTGTTTTGCTGACAACACATAAAAACATTGCTACAATTGTTAATCGTTATTTCTTGAACTAAATACTTTTCAAAATCATATCGAATGATAGTCCATTAAAATACTATTGCTATCATCAGCATGTAATACAATATTAGGGTTGAACATGTTCCTTCACACACATATAAAGTAAACTATTAGGTTACAGCAAGTAAACGGTCGATCATAATGTCGAAAAAGTTTATTGTGTGTGTATATATATATATATATATTCAAGTTGTAAAAAGTTCACTTAGCAACCTTTATTTTTAATATTAAATATATATATTGCCTGTTCTTATTATAATTAATTGTTTAGTAACATATCTTCTATATAGATATTACAAATGTATTCTCAAGTACATTATTTGAGAAAATGTGTCGTCTCAAATCATGAAAATGAGAAGGAAATGAAGTCGGTAAAGACTAGGAAATGTTGTTAAAAGTCGAAGTGATAATGTTATGCCAGGATATCATTTACTTTCTCTTTACAAGTTAAAACCGAAATTTAGTGCAAAAGAAGTGTGAACAGTATCAATTCAGCTGTATTACTTTACTTAATGCTATCCGAGTCTTTATAAAAATATAAAAACAAAACTTTCAAAATTATTCTAAGACGTTTTATTTGTTTGGTGAAGGGACAACGACTTTTTATCAAATTGGTGGTAGGAATACTTTGATAAGAAACGACTTTCTGCTCCGAGAGTTCCTTGGTTGCTAAGGAGCCACGATATATTGAACACTGCCTCTTAGACGGGCATTAATATCAAAAAGCAATAAAACGATGAATGGATCGAAGTGTCGAAATATTCATAAGACATTCAGCTACATTTGAACCACTTTGTCTTTAAAAGCAAAAGCAATTTTCGATCGCCATTCGCAAAATGAACTGATCATGTATGCTGGTCTGTCATCATCAATTACAGTGAAAAGTAAAGGAAGACAACATGAAATTTCGTGGTTTCAAAGATTCAAAACAAAAGTGAAATATATTCATAATAAAAAATACTTTTAGACTTCTTTGATAGATTGTTTAGGCAGAGTATTCATGATGAAACTTTGTAGAATATACGGCAACTGACTGTTGCAGAGTGTAGAGGACGACGTTTCGAAAGTCTTCCGCCTGATCATTCTAAAATAAATTTGTGAAAACAAAAATTCAAAATATTATCTTGATAACTTGGCTCAAGTAATAAAATTAATTTATAATCATAGAAAAGTATATTAATTGATTCTTGCGTTCGCGACACTAAATACAGGGTATGCTATATATATGGTTAAGTTCCATAGTGTGTGAATATTTTATCTTTCTGTAATGTGTTTCTTGTTCATATAGATTTAAAATGATGTTTTATTGATGAAAGGAATTTAGATAATGAACAAAAAAATTGTTCTTTCTTGAATGGTTGAAAATATTATTTTGAATGCAGGTTTATCAGGTGCTGGAAAAACTACGATTTCTTTCGGAATGGAAGATTACCTTTGTTCGCAAGGGATTCCAGCCTATGCTCTCGATGGCGACAATGTTCGTCACGGTCTAAATAAAAATCTCGGTTTTACTTCCGAAGACAGAGAGGAAAACATTCGTCGTGTGGCTGAGGTGGCGAAGTTGTTTGCTGACAGCGGTGTTGTGGTTATAACCAGTTTTATCAGTCCATTTACAAAGGTATAAATATGTATGGTTTTAATACTAAAACTTTGGATCTCAAAATTGATTTATTAAAAGTTGTGTAGATGTTTTGAGATAAATAAGGTTGGCTTATTGAAATAATACACGTTACGTCAATAAAAAACAACAACTTAATTGTGCTAAATATTCGAATGTGATATAATACAATGTAAATATATACATAGTTTATTCAAAATCCACGATCGCCTTACAAGTTTTTCAAACAAACAATTTTTGGATTTCTACTAATCTAGTGAGAGTGTTGTGTTATCTCCAGCTAAGGAAAAAATGCGATAAATTCCCGTAATCTTCAACAATTACTTTTAAAGTTATGTCTGGAGGGAAGAACTGTATAAAAAAACCTAAGTATATATATATATATATATAGTCTGAAAGGGAATATGAAGACTTAAAGTAACTTCAGTTAAAACAGCCAAGCAAAGTTTGTCGATACCAACCAATATATACACACACAACAAAGATAATTTATTTTATTAATAAAATAACACTTAATCAGTAAGGTTGTTTGTAGTTAAGCACAAAGCTACACAAAGGGTTATCTGTGCTCTGCCAACACGAGTATTGAAACCCGGTTTCTAGCATTGTAAGTCCGCAGACATACCGCTGTGCTACAAGGGGGCTAATCAGTAAGTAAACTCAAAGCAAGACTATTAACAAGGAGAATTGTTTTTCAATATATTTTTACAACGTGTTCGATATAAAATGTATTGTTTGGCGTGGTTAAAT